CAGGGAGAGAGAGAGAGAGAGAGAGAGAGAGGAATAGAAAGATAGAGTTTTGCGAACAGGAAGCACTTGCACCAATGGACGATGACCTGGAGGCCTCATTCCCTGAGGATATTGGAAAGTGCAAGAAAGAATGAAAATTCTATAGTAAAGTCTATATAACACTTCAGAAAATTCAAGTCCCTCCAGGATTTCCAATCGATACCGGAAACTACACCCATTTCTTATCTCTTGCTGATATCTTTTTATAAAATTATGATATCCAGATCGATACCCCACATTCTCAGGATCTTCATCCGGATACACGTAACTTATGGTAACAGGTGATGCGCGACTCCAGCGACAGAAGCCTCCCGTTTATGGATTGTGCGTGATACGAATCGCCGGATTGAATGTAACAATGAATCCCAGAGGATATGGAATATCGATGGATAGGGATCGTTTGCATTTTATATCAAAAACCGTCCCGATAGCATTAAACGAAAATTTACCATGTCCCGACTCTACCAACGCGTATACGTACGTGGGACGCAAGTGCGATTTATATGTTCGTCATATGGCTGATGGGAAGGAAACACGCTGGCGTCTACGCTCGACGTCGTCTCGACGCCCTGCGACGGCCCCAGGACGATGGCGGCTACGAATGTTTGACATATCAAATTGCCATTTTGTATATTTTTTTTTTCTATTCTTATTATACATTGTCATGCTTACGTCTATTCAATGATACCTTTGAATACATATACGCACGCTTAGTGGGCCGCTCGATATTACCATTGTGGTAAAGGAGGCAATTTGTTTTCAGCTAAACGGAAGACCTAAGGATGATAATATATAATGATAAGGAGTAACCGAGAGCAACAGCTTTTGGATTGGCAGTGTCCCTCCATAGAGTTAATCAGGGTGCTTCTCCCTGGAGATTATTTCAGTCTAGGCACAAGTATAGGTTTACTCTCATTTAACTTGTTCCAGATTTCCCACCGGAGAATGGTTAACTACTAAACATTATGTAACTACGGGTATACACACAGCATATATATGAATTATACAATATTCCGTAGTGTGTGGTCGTATAAGAGCAAAGACAGTTTTTCAATAGACGGTTAATATGCAGAGGAAGTTGGCAAAGCGATGTAATAAATATAAATAGAGAGGTAAGCAACTGAGAATTATTAGAACTGTTTAATTTCGTCCGTCGAATGTAATGTCGATGGTTTTTACTTGCAGTTTCAGTCGAAGAGCCACATGGGAGGAAGTGCGCCTGAATAGCTACTGGTTTGAGTCAAAGACGTTAGTTCAGCATCCTTTTCTCAGCGCAGTAAGCACTACCGATGCAAGTGCTGTTTCCGGTAACAGTTGGCAAACTAATTAAAGCAGACTATGTCGACGAGCCCTTGGAAAAAGTCGAGAAAGTTGCTGGGCCACTCGTTGGCTTTACTCTAGCTACAGGGTGTCTGGCATGTTTGGTACACAGCTAGCTTGTGCAGAGGAAGACAAATTACGAGGATCCTTCGAAGGCTCAGGAAATTTATGATCAAGGAGACAGCTCATTAACCAGACATTATCTCCAAAATCGATTTTCATTCTACTTCCGGATGCACTGGTTAGTCTCAAGCAATTTGCCCTGCAAATTAGCTTAGATGGTTTGACATTTTACCTAAGGATTTACACAAATTAAAGCTGTTTTTAAACGGCTGATCTGTTTTGCTTTTCTTCTCAGTGGGTCCGATATGACATTGCTTAATGATTTAAAGCAAGTTTCTGAGTTTGAAACTGGGCTAATTCGCGATCGCAATAACCAGCGGATTAAACATTCATTGAATTTATCGTGAGGGGATGGTCTAATTAAATTTGTCACGTTTAATTCCTTACTGGAATTCGGATCTGGCCAACAGAGCAGGCTTGTATAGTGTGTTGGTAGGTTGGCATTCCTCATTGATGCTTCAAAACTACTATACTTCCTACTGTGAATGCGGAATGATTTATTTAGAAAATTCACTGTAATACAATAATGGTTGAAAAATTTGCTTCTTAAAAAATACGAAAATGTGAAATGAACAGGGCAAAGCTGGAGGATCAAGTTTGGATTAATTTATCGAAGAATTAATGGTAGATCGACTTTTCATGAGTGACGTTAAAAGCACGATTAATCAACTCTAATTACAGTAAAGCTTGCGCTTACCTAATGACAGTCTAACGTGTTTGCTCGTTTGTTCTATTACGGCAGGGCAGAAAAGAGAAATCCATAAACGGGTTAAGCGATGCGTGTCAATATGGAAGATACAATTAATTGGTCTTCGATATCATGTCAAGAGGATAATATATATGAAACTATCATTTTTGTAATTGTTTTTTATTTTTTTTTTTATCAAACTCAAATATCGCGAACGTACATGGTAACATGGATTTAGCACGGTTTCCATTTTCACTGTCCTTGGTACTATTCTCGTTAATTTAGGAAAAATGTATAAAGGTCAGATCGTTTCAGATGGAAGTAAAAAAAAGGTTCTTTGGTGAAAGATCCGTTAAATCATTTAACACACGGGACGATCTTAGTACAGAATTCCTGAATTAGGTGTAATCCTTGTATCGGTATTAAAAGACATGCGAATATATGGTTGTAGCATATATATATATATATACACATATATATACACGCACAGATACAGGGTTATTCACCTCAAACACCACCATCAGAATGTCCTTCCGCCATAGAAATCAAATGGACATGCTACATTTCAGTTGGTTTGTGTTTCGTGAACAACCCTGTATATACACAGGTGCAAAAGGAATAAAGTTACGAGGAATAGGCCTACCATGATATATTAAGTGGAAATGAGGATCAGGCATGGTTTACGTGGTCAGGTATTAGGTGATTGCTTTTCGGAATTGCCTGCTAAGTAAATCAAGCTACTTGCTTGACCCTTCACACCTAAGGATCCGGACGGTTCGAAGATACTGAACCATTCGACAACCCAGCCAATTAGTCTGCTGAGGTTTCACGTGAGGTTTTTGAAAAAGTTCGGTATACCAAATTTTCCAGTTTGACGTGCGAGGTGAGAAGGTTACGTAGAAAAGTGTTCAGTTAGTAACGTGAGGTTAGGAGTAAAACTAAAATTGAAGAAGTTTGAGAAACCCTGGAGGTTTTATTTCTTTGTACTCGAACCCATTATACTATGGGTTTACATACATGAGCTCTATAAATAATCGTACAGCTTATCAGGGCCTAGAAAATAGAACGATAGCTCCGCGCTAGTCCTGGTTAGGGGTTGAAGATCCAAGACAGAACGATCCTTCAAGTCTTTCTTATCTGATAATGGCGTCGCTCGAGCTTTTATTCCAGTTAGCAATAGAAGCACGAGAAAATGGATGCTTTTCTTTTGTTTTATACGTTGAGACGGCGCTTTCTGAATTCTTCCGAGAAATCGTGGCTATCGCAAAAGGTTCTTCTCGGGCAAACGCGAACAAAAAACTCTTCGCGAACGTGGGACGTCCGTATACTTGTTAGTAGGAAAATCATGTCTGGGCTATAGAGAAAAAGATCACAGGGTATACAAGATAAGGTTCCTTGTTTCGATGTAGGGGACTTCAGCGTCGCTTGTAATCGGGCAAACGTTTTTACTTGATTGGATATCTTCTCGGGACAGATCCAGGGACGCGGCTCCACGTCGATTGATCCCCAAACAGTGGATCGCGAAATTGAAGACGAGGCAGCCTGATCAGGATCGGTAATAATAAGCGTTGGGTTCGGATTGTCTGATTTTCCCAAGATTTCTGGAAAGCCTAGCGAGACTGAAGCAAGTAGGCTGTGCGCATGCGCGTGCCTTTGTTTTGGTCAGTGTAGCTACCAAGCGCATCGTCGGGCGTAACGTGATTCTCGATGGCGCGTGTTGACGTCACTGTGTTTACCTAGTGACTTATGTATGGTCCACTTGCAAGCTCAACCTCACCCAGTGCCCTGAGGTGTTGAGCCAATGGCTAACCCAGGTTTACGGACAGCTGTTTGAATCCTGCCGAGGGTTCTGGCCGGTCGCTACTGACTGCCTAATGCCTGATCGGATTTCTTTGGGGGGATGTGCTGACGCATTGTTGTTGTTGACGTGCAGTGCCTGAGGTAACCGCTGAGAGGGCGACTTGAACGGCTCAAGTTTTCAGAGGTCTTGCTGATTGTGGCAGCGATCGGGTTAAATGTCCGAGTAGCCAATAGAACGAAGGTTCATGATAGCAATAATATTAAAAGTTTCGGGTGAGATTTAGCGGTTGGAGTTTGGGGGCTTCGGGGGGATCAGGTGTCGTGGGATCAATTGACGCGATACCCCAGGGCGGCATCAGGTTGTTTCATGAATTGAAAGTAAAGTTTCCTGCTGATCTTCCTGACACCGGAGGATGAGGACAAGGATTGATTGAAGTTAGGAAACACTGAAATTTTATTTCAACGAATTTTTCTTTAAGACTACCAACACTTTACATACTGATGTTCGGTGACATTTTGGAAATACCTAATTTTCTTGAATTGTCACTGATTAATTACAATTAGACAGACAACTAACTGACTGGAATTTCGAATTTTCTTCAATTTTTTTTTTTTACTGCTAATGTACCAATGGCTATTATTTGTCTCGAGTGTCCTAATCATTTGTGCTTCTTTCCTTTATCTTTGTTATCAGCTGTCGAACGTGGTGCTAAGAGTTTTCTGTATAGGAATTTGAGGATCTTTGCAATTAGGAAAATGCCGACTGCTACGCATGACAAATAAAAGGCGTAAATGTCTATCGACGAGGAACGCGAATTCACCAGAATCAGTGAGACGTTCCTTTTCAATTCCTTTTCTCTTGTATATCAGGCGCTTCCGGTCGAAAGTGTTTTTTCACTATTTCATTTTGTTCCTCCGTGCACTTGTTGAAACCATATATTATATAATATCGTCGTCTTTGGGTTTGGATCTAGATAGACATGTAAAAGACATTACGTTCAACTGGTTTGCATCTTAAAAGATGAGGGTGAATGCTGGATGGAGAAGAATTGGGACGAGATGAGAGAAGGAAAGGGAGTGGAGGAGAGGCTGAGGGGAGATTGAATGAAATGAAAGATCTTCCTGTTACTAAATTGTGTTTAATCAAACTGGGTAAATTGGACCAGACGACTGAAACACTTGACAGGCATTTATTCCTTTGGTTTCGTTCTCGTTGACACGATTTAACGAAAATCAAACCTCGTTAAGCCTCCCCCTGAGGGCGAGAAACTGAAAGAGCGAGCCCCACTGTAGTTTTGTTAACACCAATGGAAATAGCCTTAAATTAAATGCAAATTCGACGAGGCTCACGGTGGCTCAATAATGTATACATACATATATATTTCTGTATACAGTATTTCTTGCCCACTGGCGGCCCGTTGTATAAATTAATGTTATGTAATGGACTTAAAGGAATACAATGGAATGACAGAATAACAAGATACGACGTCATTGACTCTTTTGATGTCGTGAGATACACAGAAATACTTTAATAGCAAATTATGAAGCACAGTAATACAGAAGAAGTCGGGTAGCGCGGTTATCCATTTGGTTGGTCTAAAGGTTCAATTTGCTTTTCAGATTTCGTTCAAGAGAATCGCTGGGAGAGGTGTATGTAAAAGCTATGTAAAAGCTGGTGAAACCTGCATCGGAACGGAACGAGATCAGCTGTCGAGGAAGAAGGAATAAAAGTGGCTGTCGAGGAACGTTAGAATAACATAAATAGGAACTATGCTGTTATCAATGAAAATATACTGGGTCGATGTCGAGGCTGTGTTATCATAATTGGACCAAAAGAATAAGCACTTTTTATATCAGTTCTAATGTCTGTCTTTGGTGTAAACGGCGGATGACGAATTGAGTCTTTGTAAACTGTAAGGTAAATAATAGAGTAGCTTATCGTCGATTCTAAACAGAGGCTAAGCCATTAGCGCCGAGCGCTATATGTTTGTAACACTAATTTACCATATAGATTTCTACCTTATCGACTTTTACGTTTTCGAATGTTCGTTACGCTACGAATGCTCGGCACTGAAAGGGTAAAGATCGTACAGCAAATGATAAGGTCATTGAGCAAAAGTATTTTGATACTATACATGTAAAAGGGATTAGCCTGTTTGCTTACTGGATTCCGTCGTATCGGATTGACGCAATTCTTTACTTTATTGTCAAACGCCAATTTTAAGCTTGTCCATTATCTTGCTCGATTTTCACTGACATTCGACGGACAAGTAAATCGAAGAAAGCCATTACAATTTCACTTGCGTTATTTCCTTCCATGCCAGTCGCTGGATGCCAGTCTCGTATGTATTGCTTCCGTCATGGCTTCCACGAGAGACTAGCTATAGGTATAGACGTCAAAAGAGATGAACGGCCTCGTATTTCTCAGAGTCTAGGACAGCTATGCGATTAAATGGTTCTTTACTTTCCAACGTTACACGCAAACCCTGTATTTTTCTTCCTCTTATTTTCCCCCTTTTCTTCGTTTCTTTTTCTAGGATCACTGTGTCTGTTCCTGCCTCTTTCTCTCGTTCCTCCTTCGCTGCTGCTTTGGCACTGTATTCGCCAGGTGCATTTGCCCTAGTAAAAAAAAAAAAAAAAAAAAAAAA